GGAAATTCGCAGACTTTTACTTATGCCGATGACCTCAAGTGTGTTTACTCATACTCTAAGGACACCGCAAATGTTTGTGTTGAAAAAATTAATGCCGATTTATTACGCTTAAGCAGATGGGGTTCGACATGGCAGATGGAGTCTTCATCATCCAAGTGTAGTTTCATGTCTTTTGGTCCTACCAAACTTCCTGGTCCCATAATTTTTTCAGGATAACCCACTCTCAGAATGCCTCACCATAAAGGACCTAGGTCTAAGTTATACAAATAAACTTGCTTTATCACCTCATGCAGATAGAATCTCTGCCAAAGCCGCGCAGATATGTGGATTCATATCGCATAATTTTTTCCTTCCGGAAATGAAGCTAAGACTTTATCAAATGTTTGTTCTTCCAGTCCTCGAATATTGCTGTCCTTTCTTCGGTTTAATGAGCGCCTGCGACCGTAATAAAATTGAAAATGTTCAGAGGGTTTTCACTCGGAAACTTTTCTCTCAAGCTTCGTCCAGTATTTCTTATACTCAGAGATGTCAGCTGGCGAACATGAAGTTTTTGTGGGTTAGAAGACTCGAAGCTGGCCTTTGCTTCCTTTTTCGCATCAACTCTAGCTCCGGTCTTCCGCACATTGACACTCTCACTCCGAGAGATCGGTCTTATGCCACGCGCAACTCCTGCATGGTGATTCCGCCGCCTCTTTGTACTACATCTAAGCGCTCCCTCTTCTTTGCTTCCAAATATGCCTTCCTTTGGAATAATCTTCCGCCTGAAATTAGATTATCGCCTAGGTTACTGATATTCAAGTCGAAATTACGCAACCATCTTACACCGGAAAGCATAAAGGCACTGTTAACGGTCTCATTCCCGAACACTCCGATTCTTGACTTTGAGAAGGGTCCTCCTGGGATTTAGTGGTAGATTAAGTGGTAACTCTTAATTATATCATTAGAAACCCCTGTTTTGAATTGGTTTCTAAATCCATTGCTATCCTTCCACCCCCCCGATAGCGACAATTTTCGCGGTTTTTGATGTCATCTCCCGCACTCCGACCTCATGCGTTCGGTCGTACCTCCCTTCCTCACTGCTCGGCTGAGCTCGAAGCGTGCTGTGGCCGATCGCATCTCGGTTCCTCTCGTCTGGCCTCTTTGACGCAGCGTACCAATCAGGCCCAGACGATCTCAATTGTGAATCCCGTATACAATGCCATTTGCAAGCCAGTTCTGTCTGACCCACATTCGTACCCATCAAGGCGGACATTTATTGATACCCTGACGATGACCGACAACATTCCGTTATATACAGCCACCTACAGGCCAGTCCTGCTCGCTTTTTTCTGTTATTATTTTTAAAGAGGGGTTTTTTTCTCCTGAATAATTAATCCAATCATTTTTAACTTTTTCTTAGGAGTTTTTTTTCACCCCTCAATCATCATGTTTCCCAATGGACTTCTAATTTAGAAACTATGAATTTCATTTTGTAAAGATTCGGCCTACCTCGTCTAAAACTCGCATGCAAATTTATTTTAACTTGCTTTGATGGGACCCCGACGGGTCTTTAATAAAAATTATCTATCTATCTATCTATATCAGTAAAATGATATAACAATCATCCGCATTAGCGGTAGGTGTATGCAAGGCGTCGGTTTAGCACAATAGAGCTGTTCTGTCCAGACAAGCGGTATTTTCCAAGCTAATAAACATCAAGTCTTTGCTTGAATGTCTTCGTGTAATCCGCACTATCACGTCCTCGAGAAGCCCCTTTCAGGCACCGACGACTCGCTGTGCAAAAGAGGATCTGCGAACGCCTAGGCGGCATCGGGATCCTCAATTTTTTAGAGAATTCCCACGCAGGTTTGTTGTTGTGGCCAGGGTGAAGAAATCGGCGAGGTGTATGCCACAGACCCGGTTTCTCAATATCCGATACGCCTGTATGGGATCTCCTTGAATCTGCCTGTGCCCGAGAGGAAATAGTTTAAGTTCACTAAGTCTGCAGTTGTAAGGTAAAGTCTTGAGGCGTTTCACAATATTTGTCGCTCTTCTCTGAACTCCTTCTAGCAACTTTCAGTTTATTTAAGTTTATTTTGTAAAGATGATAGGCCAAGCCTTTGAAAAACCTATTGATTACAAGTTAGCTCGTTAGAAATAACTGTACACGAACAATAAAAACATTCGCTATTAAAACAGTACTTGATTCATTTAAGTACCATTGTCTCGAAGGAAATATTTGCGGGTTCGTGGGGTATTAGTTCAGATTCAGACTGGCGAGGGAAAACAGGGGACACAAATAATCATCCAAGCGTTTCTTGAAGAGTTGCAGAGACGGTGCCTCCACGACTGCCTGAGGGAGACCGTTCCATTTCTCCACTACCCTCTGCGTGAAAAATTCAGAACGAAGATTCAGCCTGGACATTGCTGTCTGTAACTTCATCGAGTGACCACGAAGATTGGGTGAAAGGTGCCACTGAAAGATGCCCTCAAAGGTAAGTCCATACTCAGGACCATGTATTATCTTGTAGACGAGGATAAGATCACCTCTTTGCTGCCTGTAACACAGGAGGAATAAATTAAGGCAATTTAGTCTGTCTGTTTAGGATTGGCTTTTTATTCCATCTGCCAGCTTTGTTGCACGACGTTGTACCCGTTTGAGGCATGTTTAGTCCTTTACTATTCATGACCGCCATTCTTGTAGGCCATATTCTAAGTGGGGACGAACAAACTTTCCCAAAAAGGTCTTGGTCAAAGTTTACGAACGTCCTTTTGATTGCATGCAGTACTCACATGACGTTGTTTGCAGCCTTGTGGCACTGCAGTGTTGGTTTCAGGTTGTTCTGTATCCCAACCCCGAGATCCTTCTGGGAAGATTCTGCATGGAGTCCTTTATCTTTCAGATGATATGTTTTCAGGTTCTCATTTGAATAACAGTTGGTTTGACGCAGATGAAGGACGGCACACTTCTCCACATTGAAATCAAATAGCCATTTCTTCGCCCAGGCTTTCAGTCGGTGCAGATTATCTTGAAGGGATCTCTGATCATTCGGACCCTTAATGACTTGCCAGAGCTTAACGTCGTCGGCAAACATTATTTTGCCGTAGTCGAGTTCCTAAAGTCTGTCATTAACATAAAGGATGAAGTGCAATTTCCCAGAACTAAGCCTTGAGGTACACCACTGGTCACATTCACCCATTCTGAAATATCATCTCCGATACAGACACGTTGTTTCTGACCAACCAGAAACGCAGTAATCCAGTTCAGAAGATCTCCCCGGATGCCGATGGCGCTCAGTTTGTGAAGAAGGCGTTGGTGCGGAACAGTATCGAAAGATTTGCGGAAATCGATGTACACCACATCGACCTCAAAACCCTCTTCTAGAACCTCGGTTCAGATCTCCAGACAAGCTAGTAGATTCGAGAAGCTGTAACGTTCTCTCCGGAAGCCATGTTGAAAATCCTGCACGATGTTATTTTTTTCACAAAATTGCTGTATAGCGCTGTTTACTTGAGCTTCCATCGTTTCCCATGGGAGGCAAGTTAAGCTACTAGGCCTTAAGCTGTTTGCTGTCACCCTGCTGCCTCCCTTATGTAAGGGAACGAGGTTAGCTCTCTTCCACTGTGATAGTTGCCTTCCTGTTCTCATTGACAGCTCAAAGAGAGTCTAAGGAGGCTTTGACAACTCCGTTGATAGATCCTTAAGTACCAGCCTGTGGATTTCGTGGGGTCCAGGAGACTTATCAGGTTTTATTTGCCTGAGGACGCGTCTTACTTCTTCGACAGAAAGGCAACAGTTTCAATGACGGCGGTATCTTGGCGCATTTTAAACCACGGGCGCCACGCATGGATTCCATATTCCAGATGCGAACGAATGAACGCTCCGTATACTTTTCCAAATAACTGTTTGTCTATATCTACGAAAGTTCGTTTAATTGCAAAGAGGACACTAGTTGCCATTTGGCCGCTCTAACGCACTGAGTCGACAAACTGTTGATCCCAAGATCTTTTGTTCAGTCACATTTGAAAGGCACCTTCCACGAGGCAGGTAATGGTAATCCTCTCCACCTTCTCTTTCATTCGTTTTGAGTCGCAGCGCGACGAACTGCTCAAGATTGAACTTCAGCAGCCATTTGTCAGACCATTTGCAAAGGCGGCTCAGTCCGTTGTATTTGCTATTCTGTGCGTTCTGTTGTACGCTAGAAACTTTTCGATTCTTGTACTGCAACGGGAAACTTATCAGTGCCCTGTAATGCCCCAAAGAACACGTGCTAAAAGACGAAGGCTTACGGCATCCCCACCGTCTCTGAGTGCTAGACTCGTGGCCGGAGACGCAGCAGGTGCCAACATATGCTCGTCGCCCTCTGTGGATATGGTTAACTCAAAAATCCCTTTAGTCCAACTAGAACCTCTTGACCCCTTAATCATCCAGACTACGCCTCTGCTTGTCGTAACAGAACATCAGCCGACGAAATGCCCGATCAGTTGATATTTGGCGACAAAAGCAGGATTTCTGAAAAATTCATTGAGCACGCGTTTAAAATTATTGGTGTAATAAGCTCTGAAACCGAGGAGGGAATAAAACGCAGACATAATTTTGTACTGCGAAACATTCCGAGTCACTTTTCTGCTATAGAGAGAGCGCATTTGTTCCTGTAGAGGTATTGCTTGGGTTTAAGTGTCGCATTAGCTAAAAGACTGCGCTCGCTTAGCCGTCATGCGCCGATACTAGTTACCCTTTTCTCCTTGATAGAAGTCGATTTTATCTTGTCGACGAAGGATATAACTAAAGATTTCTGTGGTAAATTGTGCTGCTCCGTTTCGCCGGACCCATCACCAATACTGCAAAGACGGAACAAATTGAAATGGTCAAAAACCAAAGCTGACATAATGGCACCTATTGCCAGTTTGAATAATTCTTCCGCCTCATATGCGGCCTCTGCACGTCACATCATAGTCGATTCCGTTGGGAATTCGGTTAATCTTGATGCTGAGATCTTCAAACGCAACAAAACGCCTGATATACGAACGCCCATGCCGACTCCCCTAGCAACCTCTAGCAAGCCTATGCATGTGACTCAGTCGAAGGCGAATCCAAATGCGTCTCAGCTACACGAACACCGTGTAAATCCAGCTACATCATGAAACCTTTTCCTCTGCAATCGCCTACCACTGCCTCAAACACCATGACCAAAAACATAGCATGTTTCCAAATACTTCCAGCCCTCATATCGGGACGGTTAGGCAGAATATGCCGACATTCCAGTCTTTTGATAGACTTCTTGCTCCAGCGGAAGTAGGGCGTCTCCACGTCCCATCATTTCCCCACACGGCCGTTTTGCTAATGCATTCCTCATGCTACGGTCGAGAGTGGTGTCCCGCAGGGTTCAGTACTGGGACCCATTTTATTCCTTCTATACGTGGACGATGTCGCAAGAGGTTTAGACTGCGAAGCAGCAATGTTTGCCGAAGACATGACGATATGGAGTGTAATTCGGGGTCCTGCCGACAAAGACAGGGACAGATAAACCTGAATCGGTTGGAGGAGTGGTCAAACCGTTGGCTCCTGCGGTTCAACGTTGCCAAATGTAGCATACTTCGCCTAGGCAACACAGCCAGATCCGCCAGCACGAGAGACTTCTTTCTGGGCGGTGCAGCCCTACAAGAGGTTGAAGCCCAAAAGGACATCGGTGTGCTGACGACGAGTTCCTTAAAACCATCCGCCCATTGTTCGAGAGTGACAAAAAGCACAATGTCCGTACTGTACGCCATCAAGCGTGTGTTTATGGATTTTGATGAAGATGCTTTCTCAAAGACATGCGGAACATTCGTCTGGCCGCGTTTGGAGTACGGCATACAAACCTGGAGACCATGGGCGGTTGAGGATCAAAACTGCCTCGAAAGAGTCCAGACGAGAGCCACGAAGATGATTAGGGGTCAAAGCTCCTTTCCTTATGTAACCCGCCTACTAAATGTGAACCTCTTTCCTTTGAGTTACAGGCAACTTCGCGGGGATCTCTTGCAAGCCTTTCGCATTGTAAAGGGGTTGGATAGCAGTCTGGCCTTCGAGGATTTTTCGAATTTGCTACCACGACCAACCTCCGAGGTCACCCGTTAAAAGTGCGAAATCAACAGACAAGGCTGGATGTGCGGAAGTTCTCCTTCTCTGTCCGAGTGGTCAAACCATGGAATGCCCTTACTGCAGATGTTGTGATTTCACCATCTATACAAAGTTTTAAAAAGAATCTCGACAGATTTATGTTTCGAAAAAACCAAGTTCGATGAGAAGTGGAGCTCACGCCCTGTAACTCGTTCCGATTTTGTCCTACCATTATGGGCGTGTTTGAACTATTTCAGCCCAGAGCATTTATTTGTATACCACACATTTTTTTACGTTGCAAATGGGGTACTCAAAGGCATACGCCTATTTCCCTCAGTAAACTGAACTGAACTGAAATGTCCATACTGGGTCGGTTAACTCATGTGCTCCTTGGCCTTGTTCCAGCGGGAATACGTTTCCGTATCCGGCCCACAGATTTCCAGATGAAAATGGGGTAGGTAACAACGGTCACCAGTTTCCCTGCCCGTCATTTCCTCCCCCAAGTTCTACCCATTTTTATCCACGTCAGAATCTTTTGATGCCACATATTGTTTTGCAGAACCGGCTGATGTACATCCGGTCCGTGTGTTCCGTGAACAGCCAAGCACAGGGCGACGTAGCCCAGATCCCTCAGAAGCAAACAGCCTTCCCCCTCAAACCTTTTGTTCTAGATGCCAAATCCTTGCTAAATAATATGCGTTTGCTTCACAGTCTGGGGTGCGTCCATTGTCCAGATATTGTTTTAGTAACTGAGACATAGACATCAGCTTCCGTAGCTGATTCCGAACTCTCTCTTTAAGGTTATACTTGCATTCCAAATGATCGTCAGAACAGTCGTGATGGGGGCAGTCGCATCTACGTTATGCAAACACTTACATTTCTGCCGCTAAAGTTTCCGCACTTTTCTGCGGTAGAAGGCAGCTGCTGGCTCCAGATTACACTAAAAAATAAGCTCTCCTTACTCGTTGGCTGTGTCGGTCGCCCTCTCAACGCCAATGACAATTTAGATCGTATACTCTCACTGGCATTTCATGCTGCAGACGACGTGAGCCTTAAGTATCAATTGGTTTCAGGTAACTTCAATCTTTCTGAAGTCCACTGGTCTCCGCCTTCCGGCCCCATAAGGTGCGAAGACTTTCTTGAGGCTGTGGATGTTGGGATGTGGACTCAGCTTGTTGATTTTCCCACCCAAGGATCAAGCATACTTGACCTTATTTTCTGAAAGGGCTGCATGCCTTTTTCAGTTTTATCCCTAGGTCCATTCGGTGGCTCTGACCATGACATAGATGTTTTAACGTTAGAACTCGAGGCTGACAAAACGTTGTCCCCAAAGTAAAGGTTTTCCGCAATTTCCGATCAGCTCGATCGGCCGATTAAGTAACACACATTAATTCCTATGATTAGACTGATTTCTTCCTAATTTCGGATGTAAATGTTTGCATTGCAAATCTGTACGAAATTTTGGATCCGCTTATTTCTCGTTTTATCCCCTGTAAAAAGTAATTAATGTCGGAGATGAGGTTTTCCTACCCTTACTATTTCTTCGCAGGTTGCGCAGACTTTCTGGTTGATTCCATCTTCAGAACGATGTTTCCGTTCTGCTCCCGATTTTTAGTATTTTTGAGTTGGCTAAAAAATTGTCCGAAGAAAAACAGCTAATCGCAGAGTTTCAATTCACTGAAAAACGCTCGTTAACTGTTTGGAAATCTTTCTCCCGAAAAATACGAACTCAAAGATAGACGCAGAATCCCAACCTCCGAGACGCTCACGGGAATTCTATACCTGATGCCCAGTTAACCTCTCACAGTTTCAATGTTTCTCTATCCAAAACGCTTAATAAAAACTCGGACCACTCCGCATCCGCTTCCGACCATCTAGGCATTGACCGGGGCATTTCTCGAAGCTATAACTTTCACCCTGTGGGATGTGACTGTTGCGATTCGGCGTTTTCGTCAATCTTATAGTCCAGGCCCTGATGGTGTCCCAGTAAGCATT